TATATATATAAATAATAACAACATCAGCAACAACAACAATAATAATAATAAATTAGTGCTCGAATAGGAACATAGGAACATGTTATAATAATCGTAATGGAGCTGTGGTTTAAGATGAAAAAGCGCAGCTTAGAAATTTAGCCGGGAGTGGGACTATATTCCATAATGTCAGATTCTGTCAAGAAAAAATTATTCGGCAATGTGGTCTAGATCCATATTCTACTGTCAACCATTTTAATCGATTGCTCTATGCCCGAACCCATGTGGTCACTGCAAAGGTGGCGTCAGCGGGGTGGGCGTCAGGGAAACAGATTTTGTCGGAGAATGAAAATATGTAAAAGAAATTATCAAATGTTTATTTTCGTTTAGGAAAATTAAATCTTCTTCATTTAAATAATTGTGTTAAATTTTCATCACAAACATACACTAATTTGAGTAAGGACCGACGATTCAGTCCAGACGCGAGCACAGATCTGGAAGAAATAAATCGTAGCACCATTCTTTTAAGTGTCTTACCATGATATTAGCGTTTTTTATTTGAGTTATTTCTGTCGATTTAAATATCATAAGAAAATAATTTTATATTAATAAATATTGGAAGAGAAATTGTCATGCTCAAAATTACGTGAGTACGTTGGAGGAGCAGAGTAATATTCAATATAGACAAATGGAATGTATACTTAAGTAAGTGGTAAGTGCGGCTGACACCAAACACGCATTTTCACTAAACATAATGGAATAATATATACAATATATCTTATAAAGTCACGTGACCACATTAATCACTAAAATAAGTCAATACGTGACGAATAAATAATGTAAACAACGACGACAGCAACAATAACACAAATACAAATAATTTTTATTGCAGATTTGTTACTTTTAGCAGTATGTGTGCAGCCCGAAATCAGTCGCTGCTCAGTGAGCTAAGGCAGTACAGAATAAAGTATGTAGACATTCCACATGATGAGCAAACTCGAGCCAAAGCAATCGTGCAAGATATCAAGCAAAAATTTCAACAATACAACAGTGGATCACCATACAATTTTAGACAAATCTTCCATCAGGGGAGCTCATATGAGGGGTTGAAGGTGATAAAGGCAGATGAGTTCGACCTTTTGGTTCCTCTTAACTTAAACAACCATGACTGGATAATCGCTACTTCAAGTCAACAGGGAACCTCAGGTTATTATATGATCACAAAGCAGCACGGATCAGCTGTTACAACGTGTGATAATTTTACCGAGCAACGTGAATTAATTCCAGCAAAAGTGCGGCAGAACATGCAGTCGGTGGTCCAAAGAGCCGTCAACAGCATGAGCGGTAGAAATTTTAGTATCAACCTTAGGCCTTCTGGCCCAGCCATCACTCTACATGTAGTCTACGATCACAGCAAAGAATTGTCCATCGACATTGTTCCTTGTTTGCAGCTGAACGGTCGAAGTTTTGTCGCCAAAAGCCCTTCTAATTCGTTAAGAGACACCACAAGTAACGTGTATGATCGTATGTGGAGAGAGAGTTTTTCCGATCAAGAGAAGGAAAAAATCAATGGGATGGATGGGATGAACGAATGTCGTCGAGATTGTCTGAAAATCCTCAAGACAATTCAAAAGAGGAGAGGAAAATCGCAAATTGGAATGTTGTCATCATATCACCTTAAGACTTGCTTGCTGCATCTCAACCACGATCAGCTTGACCTTACATGGAATCAGGAAGACCTGGCTGATAGATTCAAGGATCTGCTCAATACATTGATGGAGTTCCTTAAAAATCGTAACATGCCAAACTTCTTTTGCAGATCAGTGAATCTGTTTGACCGATATGATAATGGCTCACTGGAAAACATACTCAGATGGTTAAGAAAGGCTAAACATAATGATGAGAGTATAATCGATCACCTGTTACATGAAAGGTGAGTCGAAAAGTACAGATGGTATAATCTAGGCATGTGTTTCAGATATCCAATTATACTGCTTTATTGCTTACGGAAAACCGACTTTGACGCCTTAAATAAGCAGCAGTGTTGTGTATTAGTCCTCGACCAAATTTGGCGGAGCAAGCAAACGAAACCATCGCAAACGGGCCGGGGGCTAGGTCCCTAAAGTTTCCAGAAGTGAATATTCGGTTGATGTGCAACAAAGACGTAACAGAAAGCCCCGGCATTGTAGGAACATATGAGAGGCTTATTTCTTCGATTTTATAGAATTTAAATAATCCTTAAAAATTATCGAAGTACATTTTAATCTAAAAACCAAAACTTTGCATGCAATAGGCTGTACAATATTTATATATATATATATCATATTTAACCAAATGAGACTATAGAAATGTAATGCAAATATAATACCAATAATGAAAAAACAAAAAAGACAAGCATGATATATTTGTAAAGTTATACAGTATACAATAGATTTTATCTTCTAATATTTATAATTTTTATTGTAGAATATAACTAGCTAATTTAATGTAATAAGCTATTCTTTTTTTCAGGGATTTTGTGAAGCCTACTCCGGACAACTTTCAGATTGAGGTCAAAAATCAAAATGGCAAAACTAAAACTTACTCTAACATGCAGAGATCGACTAAAGTGAAACAACTAAAGACCAAGATATACGAGAATGAAGGAATACCCACAGACCAGCAGCGATTGCAATATCAGAGCAAAACCCTACAAGATGATCGAACATTGGGTTATTATGGCATCCAGCAAGGGAGTACACTTTACCTGCTTGGGAGATTGCGAGGTGGATAATCGTGGACAAATCTAATTTATGGCATATATACCCTCTACATGGCCTAAATGTTTTGAGATTATGAGGTAGTTAATGTGTTACAAACGTCTAGATATATAAGTCGATATCTATAAATAGAATAAGTAAATGTATCTACAGTATACTAGATTTATTTAGTATGACTGTTGAATTGCTGCTTTGTAATTGTGTATGTGGCGTCTTACATTTAAGGTAATTATATTATTGATTATATATATTATATATACATATATATATATATATATATCTTATGTGTATGTAAATATGCTTATTTGTATATATGCCTATTATATCAAGCTTTTCGTTTTAAACAACCGATTCTCATGTATTCCCATGTAGATATGAATTAGTAAAAAGTCTATTAAAATTCACTGAATTTTAATAGACAATACAAATAAAATTTAATTCTGTTATGATTCATCAAAAAACATACTAGTACTTGACAAAAAATAAACATATGATATACGATGATGATGATAATAATAATGATGATGATGACGATGATACGAATACAGTAATGATGCAGCATGTTGATAATGTTGTTGATGATGAGGGTGATGATGTTGAGGAGGAGGAGGAGGTGGAAGATAGTGAATAGTGATAGTAATGATCATAGTAATAATGACTGTGATGATGATCAAGAATACATGAACACAATCATCAAAATCAAGTTTTAAATACAACTACAAAGGTACATTAAATACAACTACAGAGGTACAAAAAGCCCTAAACACAATCAATTCAAGATGGTTGTAGGAGATAGCTCTATGTTGCGAACAGACAAGAGTAGCTGGCACTGATTTATCGTGTGTCTCAGACACGAAGAGACCCTTAAAAGAGAAGCAAGCTACTGAAAGATCTAGTCCACACTTCGAGTGCTTTGAAACCGTTTCGTTATAAAGCGCTATATAAATTTAACTACATAAGCCAAAGGCTTGTTTCTACAGAGGTCCCCAGGTTGATGATGAAGATGATGATGATGATGGTGATGATGATGATGATGATGATGATAATGATGATGTAAGCAACAATGACGACGATGGTGCACCTGGAAGGAAGAGATAGTGGTGGCATAAACTGGCACAAATTTGAATTTCTATTGAATAGTTCCTCTGCGAAATGTAATGCATTTCCCATTTTGTAGAGGCGGTTACCTGTTTGGTGCAGCTGAAACTGTCTGGTTTCCCATCCTCGAGGTCTGGATTTCAATCCTTGGCTCTGCATTCTCTTGTGTCCTTGAGCAATACACTTTATCTACATTGCCAGGGGAGCACCACAATCTCATCCGATTCACGCTACTTGAAACTTGGGATAAGCTCCAGGTCTATGGGCCCTAGTGGCCCGGCAAGGATATACTTTTTACTCTACTTTATGGCCATGATTCACTAACGATGATAATCTGCCCAAATTTAATATTTTGTGTAGGCAAAAATGTTATAAACGTATCACGCATAGGGGTGGCTCCCCCGTCATGCATACCAATCAACGAAAGTGTTCCTCAACGTAAAAAAAAAATGTCTCCGGTGGGATTCGAACCCGCGACCCATTGCTGAAAACACGCGATTGTCATTCTTTCAGAAAATCCCATTTAAGGCCTTCTATTTGTAAATTATTGACATGATTTCATTAATAATGACAAATCAACAATTCAATTTTAATGTGTAGGCTGTCTGGGGAAATTCCAGTTTAACACAATGCACGTTATCATTGCACTGGAAATTCCCCAGATAACGCATTGCCCCTTTATATTAAATTCGCAATTTCATTGGTGTCCACTGTAGCCAGAACCTGACAAACGGAACACCGCCTTTAGAACGAACTTGTTCACGTCTTCAGATATCTTGATCCTGCACATAAAGGTAACAATTTTACTAACAGTATTTTGTTTAATATAATTTATAATACATTGTATAAAAAACGAGTGTTTTTCCGTATATACTTTTTTTTATAATCATAGTAATAATAATAATAACCAAAAAATGGAATGTGTATAATGGCTTTTCATTTCAACCACCAACGTTTGATGTTTATTGTGCAAATTACCATTTTAAAATAGATTAAATAGAAGGCCTACATCATTCGTAAATTTGACTACGACCACGCTGGACATTAGACAAAGGGCCCGTTTATACAACACACCAATATCCGCATTCTCAGCCCGCCAAAGTTATGTGTGTAGTATAAACGCAGGCCTACATCATTCGTAAATTTGACTACGACCACGCTGGACATTAGACAAAGATACAAGAGCCTGGCATTTTAGTTTATACTATTCGAAGGTGATGACAAGCAGAATATTGATTCATTAATTGATTGATTGATTGATTGATTGATTGATTGATGACGATAATGATGACGAAGACGATGATGATGATAATAGTTCAGCATTTATAGTAGGCCTACAGAGACTAATACAATCGAAGGAAGTTTCAAAGAAAGCATACACCGGTATTGTAGGCCTGCAATCTCATCATGCATCCTTAATTGACAAACAAGCACTACATCAATTTGGCAATATATTTATGTCTACAGTAGGCCCTATGTATTTTTTGTGTAGCTTTTATGATATAAAATTGTGAGGCTTCTGATATAAGAACGATTTTACGTAATATTGCAAGACTTAAACAGATTATTTATTTTTTTATTTATTCTGTTTTACTCTAAGATAGAGATGGCACGCTATAAAGGAAAATAAACTCCTATTCCCAATGGGATTCACCTACCATGAAAGAAGGCCTACAACATTCGTAAATTTGACTACGACCCGGTGGACATTAGACTAAAATATTATTAATATTAACATAATAATAATTATTATTATAATTATAACTATGAAGATAATTTGATTATAATAATAATAATGTTAATAATAATAATGATGACGATAATAATATTATTAATGAAAATGGTAATTTCTTTTATTGCAGATTGTTTAGTACTTAACCTGTTTCGAAGTAAGTGTGCAGCCAGAAATATGTCGCTGCTCGGGGAGCTAAGACAGTACCGCAAGGACTATGTCGAGATTCCACAAAGTGAACAAACTCGAGCCAAAGAAATAGTGAAAGAAATCAAACGAGAGTTTCAGCAACACAACAATGGATCACCGTACAATTTTGGACAAATCGTCCATCAGGGGAGCTCATATGAGGGGTTGAAGGTAATAAAGGCAGATGAGTTCGACCTTCTGGTTACTCTTAACTTAAACAACCATGACTGGAAAATTACTACTTCAAGCCAACGGGGAACGTCAGGTTATTATATGATTACAAAGCAGCACGGATCGTCTGTAGCAACGTTTGATAATTTTACCGAGCAAGGCGGATTAATTCCAGCAAAAGTCCGCCAGAACATGCAGTCGGTTGTCCAAAAAGCCGTCAACAGCATGGGCGGTAGACATTTCAGTATCAACCTCAGACCTACTGGCCCTGCCATCACACTACATGTCGTCTACGATTACAGCAAAGAATTGTCCATCGACATCGACATTGTTCCTTGTTTGCAGCTGAACGGTCGAAGTTTTGTCGCCAAAAGCCCTTCTAATTCGTTAAGAGATACCACAAGTAACGTGTATGATCGTATGTGGAGAGAGAGTTTCTCCAAACAAGAGAAGGCAATAATCACTCAAATGGATGGGATGAACGAATGTCGTCGAGATTGTCTGAAAATCCTCAAGACAATTCAAAAGAGGAGAGGAATATCGCAAATTGGAATGTTGTCATCATATCACCTTAAGACTTGCTTGCTGCATCTCAACCACGATCAGCCTAACCTTACATGGAATCAGGAAGACCTGGCTGATAGATTCAAGGATCTGCTCAATACATTGATGAAGTTTCTTAAAAATGGTAGCATGCCAAACTTCTTTTGCAGTTCAGTGAATCTCTTTGACCGATATGATCCTGACTCACTGAAAAACATACTCGCCTGGTTGAGAAAGGCTACACATGATGATAAGAGCATAATCGATCACCTGTTACAAAGGTGAGTCGAAAATTACCGGTTTCAGATATCCCATTATACTGCTTTATTGCTTAGGGAAAACCGGCTTTGGCGCCTTAAACAAGCAGCAATGTTGTGTATTTGTGGGACTACAGTTTGCCCGACCAAAGATAGCGGGGCAAGCAAGCGAAACAAGAATTCGGTAGATGAGCAACGGAGACGTTTCAGAAAGCCCCGGCATTGTAGGAACATAATTATGAGAGGCTTATTTCTTCGATTTTATAGAATTTAAATAATCCTTACAAAATTATTTAAAGTACATTTTAATCTAAAAACCGAAACTTTGCATGCAATAAGCTGTATAATATCATATATATATATATATATATATTATATCATATTTAAGCAAATGATATAATACCAATAATGAAAAAAAAAAGACAAGCATGATACATTTGTAAAGTTATACAATATATACAATAGATTTTATCTTCTAATGTTTATAATTTTTACTGCAGAATATAATTAGATAATTTAATGTAATAAGCTATTCTTTTTTTCAGGGATTTTGTGAAGCCTACTCCAGACAACTTTCAGATTGAGGTCAAAAATCAAAATGGCAAAACTAAAACTTACTCTAACATGCAGAGATCGACTAAAGTGAAACAACTAAAGGCCAAGATAAACGAGAAGGAAGGAATACCCGTAGACCAGCAGCAATTGACATATCAGAGCAGAAACCTACAAGATAATCAAACATTGGGTTATTATGGCATCCAGCAAGGGAGTACACTTTACCTGCTTGGGAGATTGCGAGGTGGATAATCGTGGACAAATCTAATTTATGGCATATATACCCTCTACATGGCCTAAATGTTTTGAGATTATGAGGTAGTTAATGTGTTACAAACGTCTAGATATATAAGTCGATATCTATAAATAGAATAAGTAAATGTATCTACAGTATAATAGATTTATTTAGTATGACTGTTGAATTGCTGCTTTGTAATTGTGTATGTGGCGTCTTACATTTAAGGTAATTATATTATTGATTATATATATTATATATACATATATATATATATATATCTTATGTGTATGTAAATATGCTTATTTGTATATATGCCTATTATATCAAGCTTTTCGTTTTAAACAACCGATTCTCATGTATTCCCATGTAGATATGAATTAGTAAAAAGTCTATTAAAATTCACTGAATTTTAATAGACAATACAAATAAAATTCAATTGTGTTATGATTCATCAAAAAATATACCAGTACTTGACAAAAAATAAACATATGATATACGATGATGATGATAATAATAATGATGATGATGATGACGATGATAAGAATACAGTAATGATGCAGCATGTTGATAATGTTGTTGATGATGAGGGTGATGATGTTGAGGAGGAGGAGGTGGAAGATAGTGAATAGTGATAATAATGATCATAGTAATAATGACTGTGATGATGATCAAGAATACATGAACACAATCATCAAAATCAAGTTTTAAATACAACTACAAAGCTCCAAAAAGCCATAAACACAATCAATTCAAGATGGTTGTAGGAGATAGCTCTATGTTGCGAACAGACAAGAGTAGCTGGCACTGATATATCGTGTGTCTCAGACACGAAGAGACCCTTAAAAGAGAAGCAAGCTACTGAAAGATCTAGTCCACACTTCGAGCGCTTTAAAACCGTTTCGGTATAAAGCGCTATATAAATCTAACTACATAAGCCAGAGGCTTGTTTCTACAGAGGTCCCCAGGTTGATGATGAAGATGATGATGATGGTGATGATGATGAAGATGATGATGATGATAATGATGATGTAAGCAACAATGACGACGATGGTGCACCCTGGAAGGAAGAGATAGTGGTGGCATAAACTGGCACAAATTTGAATTTATATTGAATAGTTCCTCTGCGAAATGTAATGCATTTCCCATTTTGTAGAGGCGGTTACCTGATTAATAGATTTTAGAACCTTTAAAATCATGGGAAAGTCGGTTTTACACTAGGAGAATTAATTCGCTCGAATCGAAACCGTCGGCTCTGATTGTTTGCGCATTTTTTCGCTTCGCAAAAAGTAGAAACAATTCGAACTACCGATTTTGCAGGCCCGTAGGCAGTGGGTGCAGAGGGTGCGGACGCACCCCTCTCCACCCAAATTCTAAAAGGTCCACTTTATTCAACCTATTATTTCACAAAATTGCTCCTAATTATTGCTAAATAAATAGTATGCATCTCATTTTATATTTGTCTGCTCTTCTGAAAGTTGATTTTTAATAGCTATGGTATGAAATTGTTGGAATGATCAGCTACGATGATTACACGTTCAATGTTATATAGGCCTACTGAGATATGAATGACATACAGTGTAACGGGACTTCTTCAAAACACAAATTAATAAACATTTTAATAGAATATTCACGAATGGGTTTGAGAACTAATTATTGTGAAATGCTCTTTTGCCAGCACTTCTAACCGTTGATTTTTAATAACCGGTACGAAATTTGTTGGAGGTTATAAGCTACAGTGATTGATTGATCCATGGTAACAAATTGTATCTGTAGACCTATAACATATATGCAAAGGACATAAAAAAAAAATGTTGTTTCTTCAGGTCCCTGCAACACCTAAATAAATGAAAATTTAAATAGAATATTCACAAATCCATTATGAACAATTAAATGTCATCTGTAGGCCCACAGGATGTAAAGGACACAAAAAATTACAAATTTAGGTCCCTAAAAAACACCGAATACAAATTTAAAGAAAATAGAAATGCACTTACAAAGCGCTCAAAATGCTAATTTGTCAGGGTTTCTGGGGGCTTTTCCCCGCCTCCACAGGGTCCTGTTGGACCCCTCATCCTAAGGTCCGTTTCGCTCACAAAACACACCTCCCCATCGAAAATCTTGCCTATGAACCTGTTTTGCTGAAGCGAAAATCTCCTATAGAAAATGTGAATACACATGAACCTACGCTTTCGATTCGGGCGAATGAATTCGCTTAGTGTAAAAGCCGTTTTTCATTAGACGAAATAACAGTTTCATTGGATTTTATTTTTTACTGGAACGCAGTTAAATTTTCATCATGAGATTTCTCAATTGCGCATGCGTATAGATAAAATTTTCGAATAAATTCACTTAAAACCAGCTTCAAGTTACTTTTGATCTGAAAATCAAAACATCGAGGCATCGAACGCCTCGAAAATATATAAATATCATGGGAAGTAGCTAAGGGCACTGTAAATATTGGACTATAAATGTATTGAAAAACAATAAGAAGAAGGATTCACATTATTCATTAAGGTGACGTTATGCAATGATAATCTTACAGTACATTATTATCCATTGTTTGTACATTAAAGTGTAGAATATAATTAAACTTCAACTGTTATTTATTTATATTCTCTTTTCAGTGGTTTTATGGAGCCTAATTCAGACAACTTTGACATTTTTGTAGTCAATACAGATGGTAAAACCATTAATTACCGTAACATGTAGAGATCTACTACTGTGAGACAACTAAAAGTCGAGATATCAAAAAAGGAAGGTATGCCTATAGATCAACAGCGATTGACATTTCAGAGCAGACCCCTAGAAGATGGTCAAACATTGGAAGACTATGGCATCCAACAGGGGAGTACAATTTATCTGCTTGGGAGACTGCGGGGTGGAATGGTGGAAATAGTCACCGAATTTATAACATACCTTACAATGTTTTGAAATTACGAGGCGATTAATGAGATATATTATTTCTAAATACTATATATATGTGTATATTTACATATAAATGTAAATGTATGCCTATAAATAAATAATTAAAATTAATTCAAAATAAGAAATCAGAAAAAAAAAACGCTACATGTACACTCTACAGGTGGAAAACGGCGCTGTGAGCACTCTACCAATAGATAAATACGTGCGCCTTATAAGATGACATTATTATTATTATTATTATTATTATTATTATTATTATTATTATTATTTATAAATCATGGTGCATAGATATCGAAGCCCTCTTGCGGTAATGCTGTAATAAAAAATGTTGAACGTTAGTTCTAAAGAGGAATCTGCGAGTGTAAAATAGGTTGCCCCCAAACACCGGGATTTCGAACCCGGAACCTTCTGCTGTTTATGCAGATGGCCAAACCAAATGTTTAGATATATTAGTTTATAATTTATTAATTTGTAACTGTAATTGTAGCGTTTTGTATCCAAAAAAAATGTCGCGGTACAAAAATTACATACATACATGGTGTATGATTGTTACTGATGTTTTGTAATTGGCGTGACATGTGGTGTATGTACATTATATACTATATTAATATTGAGTTATTTAGAAAGTCTCTTGATAGGCCTGGGCTACTAACCAGGCATTCAGCGTGTACTAGGAATACTATTTTTGTATTAGGCCTGTAGAGCCTATACATATTTTGGTAGTTGATATTTGTCTGAGAAATAAATATATGATTAAATGTTAATTTGAGAGTTTTTTGGTCGTATTAATTGGCCTTCACAAAACGTTCTAATTAATAATCTAAAAATGAGGGTACTGACAGCATTAAAGGAGACCGCTGCCAAAGGCATTATCGGGAGCAGGCCAATTGCCAATCCTTTCCGTGTCCGACCAGTTTACCGAATGCCAGATTGCCGTGTCGAATTTGCCGAAACCAGTAACTGTTACCGTGTTGTAATACCATCTTCTGAAGAAACATGGTCGTCATTGAGTGACAGGATCCTCAAAAATCACGAAACACAGTTTGCTAAACGCCACTTTGCCGAACGTTGACCCAATATGCTAAAGCATTTCGACGACTATCCTATTCTACCTTCACCGTCGTGGGTAAAACAACCAGGGATTCGCAGCAGCAGTGGTTTGATAAACATGACGGGCAGGTCGGGGATCAAGAGCCGTATGCCTATTGGATAATACTCAAAGTTAGATAATCCTTTACCGCCAAAAAGTGATATACCTAGTTTGTGTTCTGCAATGGTGGATCCAGGAATTTAAAATAGAGGGGTACGTAGAGCTTTCCATCAATGATAGAAATACTAAACAAAACATTTAAATTAATTCGTAATGATGAAATATCGGAGGTAAAGATCACATTAACAAAGGAATACTGTAATATGCTTTTTAATTTTTACAGAAATGTGTAACTTTAAACATTAACAAAGAACTAATTTAAATAAATTAACATTCTTTCATAACATATGTATATATATATACATATATACATAACAATAATAATAATGTAAGTATATATATATTATATACATATATATATATAATAAAATAATAATAATAATAATAATAATAATCAAGATTCAAGATATATTTTCTTCATACATAGTACATATATACGAGATTTTTTTCTTTGAGTTGATAACAAACAGTAGAAATCGAAAACATCACTACAATATACAATACAAAAATTGACACATATAATATTAAATATGAATATAACAATATATACACATGGGAATAAAACAAGGTTGAACTATATTGTGAGGTACAGGAGAGGAATATGGCATGGAATGTAGTATAGTGAAATACAGTAGATAAGATTGATGATGAGATTATCTACTGAAGTGTTCGTTAAAGATTGCATATGGTAAAAATGAGTGTTTATGACGGTTGGTACGTTTTAAATAAAGGAATTATTCTGCCATATTTACTAATTGTTAAGAAATTGTTAAGTGGGTGAGTTAATAAAAAAAATTATGATAATAATAATAATAATAATAATAATAATAATAATAATAATAATAATAATAATAATAATAAGTGCTCGAATAGGAACATGTTACAATAATGGTATCAAGCATAGACCTAGTCATCAACGAAAAGTTCCTTTATATCAGCTGTATGAAAAAAATTCTCTGGAGAGCGAACCCGCAACCTCTCTCTATCAAGGTAAGTATCGTACGCATTAGACCACGGAGACATGGTATAATAATGCAGATCTAACCCCCAGGTAGTTTCTCTTATACAACTGACTGAAACATTCACACAAATGGAGCTGCGGTTAAGCTAGAAGAGCGCAGCAGAGAAATCATATTGTATTAATAATCATTGGCCCAGTAATAGTTTTTGTAGATAATAGGGTCTAAAACTAAAATTTTGTGTGATATTTCACAAATGGGGTTTCGGAAGATCTGCGGGGATCCAGAAATTCGATATAAGGGGCCATGGATGGACAGATGGAGTGTCTACACCAAGTGAGCCCCACCATGGTAAGAAAATGCATGATTAACTTCTAGATAAGAGGAGATGACACTCTCAGATTTAAATTTGAATATAATTGTCTTTTTAATTCCATTTTTTTAATAAATTTTGGGCGTCGCCAACACTCCCACCCCCTGAATCTGTCCTTGCAATATTCGGCAAACAATTAAGCTTTGGCAATGTGGTCTAGATCCATATTCTACTGTCAAATATCAGATTTAATCGAATATTCTAGAATGTATATTATGGTAATTCCCATTTACAATATTTTGCCTATGCAATGCAATAAATACACCGTGCCGGGTGTTTAGAGGTAGGTCTATTTTGAAAAAAAGGAAGAGAGTCACGGTCTATAAACAAATACAAAATACAAATACAAAAATACTCTATTTATAGGCATATGCTGTAGTCCACTGTCAAATTAAACTAGATAAACGTCATAAATATTCATTGGAGGCATGCCAGTAACCGAATGTTCTAGAGTGTATAAGGGAATTCCCTACTTTATTATTTTGCTTACGCAATGCAATATAGATCGTGTGATGCCGTGTTTAATCATTCGTCGGAACATTTTTTGTAGTTGAGGGAAGGCATTTAAAGGTAGGTAGGTGTTGTGTATCAGTGTATAAGAGACAGGTAATACCATCTTCTGAAGAAACATGGTCGTCATTGAGTGACAGGATCCTCAAAAATCACGAAACACAGTTTGCTAAACGCCACTTTGCCGAACGTTGACCCAATATGCTAAAGCATTTCGACGACTATCCTATTCTACCTTCACCGTCGTGGGTAAAAACAACAAGAGATTCGCAGCAGCAGTGGTTTGGTAAACATGACGGGCAGGTCGGGGATCAAGAGCCGTATGCCTATTGGATAAATACTCAAAGTTAGATAATCCTTTACCGCCAAAAAGTGATATTCCTAGTTTGTGTTCTGCAGTGGTGGATCCAGGAATTTAAAATAGAGGGGTGCGTAGAGCTTTCCATCAATGATAGAAATACTAAACAAAACATTTAAAGATCACATTAACAAAGGAATACTGTAATATGCTTTTTAATTTTTACAGAAATCAACAACAATAATAATAATAATAATAATAATAATAATAATAATAATAATAATAATAATAAATTAGTGCTCGAATATGAACATGTTATAATAATCGTAATGGAGCTGTGATTTAAGCTAAAAAACGCAGCTTGGAAATCATATTGTATTAATAAACAATCATTGGCGCGCGCAGTAATAGTTTTTGCAGATAATAGGGTCTAAAACTAAAATATTATTGTGTGAATAAATTAATATTTGAGAAATAGAGTTCTGGAAGATCTGTGGCGGATCCAGGAATTCGAAATAAGGGGGCCATGGAGGGACGTGACGGAGTGTCTACACCAAGTGAGTCCTACCATATAAGAAAATGTATGATTATGGCACCTCTATAGATAAGAAGAAATGGCATTCTCAGAGACTTAAATGTTAATATAATTGTCCTTTTTATTCCATTTTTTTATAACTCCCACACGTCGCCGACATCCCCATCCCACCCCCTGAATCTGCCCTTGCAATATTCGGCATACCAAGGAGGTACCTCCTTAGGCATACTAGGCAATCCCCAACGCCGTACCCACTGCCATACGTGTCTTTCATGGATGTGCATTTTGGACGGTTATGTTTCCTTGAAAAAAATTGAAGCCCCATTCCAGGCAAAATTTTACTGAAAAAAGAATTTTATTTAGAAAATATGCATATCTATTACTCTAGTTATCATAAGCCATAAAAATATAGGCCTATTGGCATAAATTTATTTTTACGCAAAATGATTTTAAAAAAATAAGAAATAGAGATTACCATTTTCTCGACGAATTCTTTGTAATACAGTACTAGGCAGATTCAGAGGTTGTAAATCGCACCCGCTGGAATGCTCCGGCTTTTGTGTGTGGTACCGTATACAGTATTTTTCTTCTTTATACAGTCAATGCAATCTTTAATGAGATTAGTTTTTTGTACTTCGCATCTCGCACACTGCGGTCGATCGAGTAGGCCTGAGATATGTTTGTTTAATTGTCAAAATATCCGTCAGAATCATTTTTTTTAAACAAATTTGAAATAATTCCAATGAAATATTATATTTCATAAAGTGTCAATACTAGCAACGGAATATATCATATCGGCCGTTTTTATGTCTGATAACAGAAATCGAAGTAAGGCTAGGGGCCTAGCCTAGCACAGTTTTGATAGGCTAATGTATTACTACTATTTCTTCGCAGGCCTATCGCAAAATCAAGCATAAAAAATTAATCCGCGTTTATTTTTTGTGTTTTACATTTTCTTCATGTTTAGAAATGTTTAATTTCTGTTAAACTAGCAATTTCGTATTATATTTATAAATTGTGTAACATATATAAAAATCAGATTTTTCTTAACAACTGAAATTTTGCCGGGAAAGGGGCTTTAATATATTCCATAATGTCATACTCTGTCAAGAAAAAAATATTCGGCAATGTGGTCTAGATCCATATTCTACTGTCAACCATTTTAATCGATTGTTCTAGGCCCGAACCCATGTGGTCACTGCAGAGATGGCGTCAGCGGGGTGGGGCCTCAGAGAAACAGATTTTGTCGGAGAATGAAAACATGTAAAAGAACTTATCACATGTTTATCTTCGTTTAGGCCAATCAAATCTTCATCATTGAAATAATTGTGTTAAATTTTCATCACAAACATACTAATTTGAATAAGGACCAACGATTTACCGCCCAGACTCGAGCACAAATCTGGAAGAAATAAATCGTACACCATTCTTGTAAGTGTCTTACCTTGATAGCGTTTTTTGAGTTCCTATATGTCGATTAAAATATCATAAAAATAATTTTATATTAAAAAATACTGGAAGAGGAATTGTCACGTTAAAAAATACGTGAGTACGTTAATGGAGCAGAGTAATATTCAGGATAGACAAATGAAACATACACTTAAGTAAGTGCGGCTGATACCAAACGCGCATGTTCACTAAATATAATGGAATAATATATATAATATAATATATCTTATAAAGTGACCATATTAATCACTAAAATAAGTCAATACATGACGAATAAAGAATGTAAACAACGACGACGGCAACAATAATAAAAATATAATTAAAAATTGTTATTGCAGATTTCTTACTTTAACCTGTTTCGAAGTAAGTGTGCAGCCAGAAATATGTCGCTGCTCGGGGAGCTAAGACAGTACCGCAAGGACTATGTCGAGATTCCACAAAGTGAACAAATTCGAGCCAGAGAAATAGTGGAAGAAATCAAACGAGAGTTTCAGCAATACAACAGTGGTTCACCGTACAATTTTGGACAAATCTTCCATCAGGGAAGCTCATATGAGGGGTTGAAGGTGATAAAGGCAGATGAGTTCGACCTGCTGGTTCCTCTCAACTTAAACAACCATGACTGGAAAATCACTCCTTCAAGCCAACGGGGAACGTCAGGTTATTATATGATCACAAAGCAGCACGCATCGTCTGTAGCAACGTTTGATAATTTTACCGAGCAAGGCGGATTAATTCCAGCAAAAGTTCGCCAGAACATGCAGTCGGTTGTCCAAAGAGCCGTCAACAGCATGGGCGGTAGACATTTCAGTGTCGACCTCGGACATACTGGCCCTGCCATCACAATACATGTCGTCTACGATTACGGCAAAGAATTGTCCATCGATATTGTTCCTTGTTTGCAGCTAAACGGTCGAAGATTTTACGCCAAAAGCCCTCCTGATTCGTTAAGAAATACCACAAGTAACGTGTATGATCGTATGTGGAGAGAGAGTTTTTCCAATAAAGAGATGGAAAGAATCAATAGGATGGATGGGATGAATGAATGTCGTCGAGATTGTCTAAAAATCCTTAAGACAATCCAAAAGAGGAGAGGAATATCGCAAATTGGAATGTTGTCGTCATATCACCTTAAGACTTGCTTGCTGCATCTCAACCACGATCGACCTCGCCTTACGTGGCATCAGGACGATATGGCTGACAGATTCAAGGATCTAGTGAATACATTGATGGAGTTCCTTGAAAATCGTAACATGCCAAACTTCTTTTGCAGATCAGTGAATCTCTTTGACCGATATGATACTGACTCACTGAAAAACATACTCGGCTGGTTGAGAAAGGCTACACGAGATGATAAGAGCATAATCGATCACCTGTTACACGAAAGGTGAGTCGAAAAGTACCGGTTTCAGATATCCCATTATACTGCTTTATTGCTTAGGGAAAACCGGCTTTGGCGCCTTAAACAAGCAGCAATGTTGTGTATTAGTGGGACTACAGTTTGCCCGACCAAAGATAGCGGGGCAAGCAAGCAAAACCAATCCTCAACCAAGTATAGCGGGGCAAGCAAGCGAAACCAGCGTAAGCGGGCCGGGGGCTAGGTCCCTAAAGTTTCCAGAATTCGGTAGATGTGCAACGGAGACGTTTCAGAAAGCACCGGCATTGTAGGAACATAATTATGAGAGGCTTATTTCTTCGATTTTATAGAATTTAAATAATCAATCTAATTTATGGCATATATACCCTCTACATGGCCTAAATGTTTTGAGATTATGAGGTAGTTAATGTGTTACAAACGTCTAGATATATAAGTCGATATCTATAAATAGAATAAGTAAATGTATCTACAGTATAATAGATTTATTTAGTTTGACTGTTGAATTGCTGCTTTGTAATTGACCTTTCCGGAGTGTCAATCAAACTTAACAACTGACTAATCAGAACAGCGCTAGGAATACGCACGCGTCTCACAAACACACGTGTTGTCCCACAAACGCACGTGTTGGCGTATGCTTTAACACTGTCGTCTTGTGGTACCTTAGCAACAATATCTAAGGGCCGGGGCTTAGTGGAAAGGTCCATTGTGCATGTGGCGTCTTACTTTTAAGGTAATTATATTATTGATTATATATATTATATATACATATATATCTTATGTGTATGTAAATATGCTTATTTGTATATAGGCCTATTATATCAAGCTTTTCGTTTTAAACAACCGATTCTCATGTATTTCAATGTAGATATGAATTATTAAATCGTCTATTAAAATTCACTGAATTTTAATAGACAATACAAATAAAATTTAATTCTGTTATGATTCATCAAAAAACATACCAGTACTTGACAAAAAATAAACATATGATATACGATGATGATGATAATAATAATGATGATGATGATGACGATGATAAGAATACAGTAATGATGCAGCATGTTGATAATGTTGTTGATGATGAGGGTGGTGATGATGTTGAGGAGGAGGAGGTGGAAGATAGTGAATAGTGATAGTAATGATCATAGTAATAATGACTGTGATGATGATCAAGAATACATGAACACAATCATCAAAATCAAGTTTTAAATACAACTACAAAGGTACAAAAAGCCCTAAACACAATCAATTCAAGATGGTTGTAGGAGATAGCTCTATGTCGCGAACAGACAAGAGTAGCTGGCACTGATTTATCGTGTGTCTCAGACACGAAGAGACCCTTAAAAGAGAAGCAAGCTACTGAAAGATCTAGTCCACACTTCGAGTGCTTTAAAACCGTTTCGGTATAAAGCGCTATATAAATTTAACTACATAAGCCAAAGGCTTGTTTCTACAGAGGTTTCCAGGTTGATGATGAAGATGATGATGATGGTGATGATGATGATGATGATGATGATGATAATGATGATGTAAGCAACAATGACGACGATGGTGCACCCTGGAAGGAAGAGATAGTGGTGGCATAAACTGGCACAAATTTGAATTTCTATTGAATAGTTCCTCTGCGAAATGTAATGCATTTCCCATTTTGTAGAAGCGGTTACCTGTTTGGTGCAGCTGAAACTGTCTGGTTTCCCATCCTCGAGGTCTGGATTTCAATCCTTCGCTCTGCATTCTCTTGTGTCCTTGAGCAAGACGCTTTATCTACATTGCCAGGGGGAGCACCACAATCTCATCCGATTCATGCTACTTGAAACTTGGGATAAGCTCCAGCTCTATGGGCCCTAGTGGCCCGGCAAGGATATACTTTTTTACTCTACTTTATGGCCATGATTCACTAACGATGATAATCTGCCCAAATTTAATATTTTGTGTAGGCAAAAATGTTATAAACGTATCACGCATAGGGGTGGCGCCCCCGTCATGCATACCAATCAACGAAAGTGTTCCTCAACGTCCAAAAAAATGTCTCCGGTGGGATTCGAACCCGCGACCCCTCGCTGAAAACACGCGATTGTCATTCTTTCAGAAAATCCTATTTAAGGCCTTCTATCTGTAAATTATTGACATGATTTCATTAATAATGACAAATCAACAATTCAATTTTAATGTGTAGGCTGTCTGGGGAAATTCCAGTTTAACACAATGCACGTTATCATTGCACTGGAAATTCCCCAGATAACGCATTGCCCCTTTATATTAAATTCGCAATTTCATTGGTGTCCACTGTAGCCAGAACCTGACAAACGGAACACCGCCTTTAGAACGAACTTGTTCACGTCTTCAGATATCTTGATCCTGCACATAAAGGTAACAATTTTACTAACAGTATTTTGTTTAATATAATTTATAATACATTGTATAAAAAACGAGTGTTTTTCCGTATATACTTTTTTTAATAATCATAGTAATAATAATAATAACAAAAAATGGAATGTGTATAATGGCTTTTCATTTCAACCACCAAGTTTGATGTTTATTGTGCAAATTACCATTTTAAAATAGATTAAATAGAAGGCCTACATCATTCGTAAATTTGACTACGACCACGCTAGACATTAGACAAAGATACAAGAGCCTGGAATTTTAGTTTATACTATTCGAAGGTGATGACAAGCAGAATATTGATTCATTAATTGATTGATTGATTGATTGATTGATTGATTGATGACGATAATGATGACGAAGACGATGATGATGATAATAGTTCAGCATTTATAGTAGGCCTACAGAGACTAATACAATCGAAGGAAGTTTCAAAGAAAGCATACACCGGTATTGTAGGCCTGCAATCTCATCATGCATCCTTAATTGATCAAACAAGCACTACATCAATTTGGCAATATATTTATGTCTACAGTAGGCCCTATGTATTTTTTGTGTAGCTTTTATGATATGAAATTGTGAGGCTTCTGATATAAGAACGATTTACGTAATATTGCAAGACTTAAACAGATTATTTATTTTTTTATTTATTCTGTTTTACTCTAAGATAGAGATGGCACGCTATAAAGGAAAATAAACTCCTATTCCCAATGGGATTCACCCACCATGAAAGAAGGCCTACAGCATTCGTAAATTTGACTACGACCCGGTGGACATTAGACTAAAATATTATTAATATTAACATAATAATAATTATTATTATAATTATAACTATGAAGATAATTTGATTATAATAATAATAATGTTAATAATAATGATGATGACGATAATAATATTATTAATGAAAATAGTAATTTCTTTTATTGCAGATTGTTTAGTACTTAACCTGTTTCGAAGTAAGTGTGCAGCCAGAAATATGTCGCTGCTCGGGGAGCTAAGGCAGTACCGCAAGGACTATGTCGAGATTCCACAAAGTGAACAAACTCGAGCCAGAGAAATAGTGGAAGAAATCAAACGAGAGTTTCAGCAACACAACAGTGGATCACCGTACAATTTTGGACAAATCTTCCATCAGGGAAGCTCATATGAGGGGTTGAAGGTGATAAAGGCAGATGAGTTCGACCTTCTGGTTCCTCTTAACTTAAACAACCGTGACTGGAAAATTACTACTTCAAGCCAACGGGGAACGTCAGGTTATTATATGATCACAAAGCAGCACGGATCGTCTGTAGCAACGTTTGATAATTTTACCGAGCAAGGCGGATTAATTCCAGCAAGAGTCCGCCAGAACATGCAGTCGGTTGTCCAAAAAGCCGTCAACAGCATGGGCGGTAGACATTTCAGTATCAACCTCAGACCTACTGGCCCTGCCATCACACTACATGTCATCTACGATTACAGCAAAGAATTGTCTATCGATATTGTTCCTTGTTTGCAGGTAAACGGTCGAAGTTTTGTCGCCAAAAGCCCTCCTAATTCGTTAAGAAATACCACAAGTAACGTGTATGATCGTATGTGGAGAGAGAGTTTTTCCGATCAAGAGAAGGAAATAATCAATGGGATGGATGGGATGAATGAATGCCGTCGAGATTGTCTAAAAATCCTTAAGACAATCCAAAAGAGGAGAGGAATATCGCAAATTGGAATGTTGTCGTCATATCACCTTAAGACTTGCTTGCTGCATCTCAACAACGATCAGCCTGACCTTACATGGAATCAGGAAGACCTGGCTGACAGATTCGAGGATCTACTCAATACATTGATGAAGTTCCTTGAAAATCGTAACATGCCAAACTTCTTTTGCAGATCAGTGAATCTCTTTGACCGACATGATACTGACTCACTGAAAAACATACTCGGCTGGTTGAGAAAGGCTACACGAGATGATAAGAGCATAATCGATCACCTGTTACATGAAAGGTGAGGTGACAGTCTGTAAAAAGTATAATCTGGGCCTATGTGTTTTGGATACCCCATTATATACCTGCTTTATTTATTGTGTGCGGACGTGCCAGCATTGGCGCCATAAATAAGCAGCGATGTGGTGTAATAGTGGCGCCAGGACTTGCTCGGGGAGGGATCCAAATTCCTCGGCCGAAGATAGGGGGAGAATGCAAGCCAAACCAGCGTAATCGATTTTAGAATCTAAATAATCCTTTAAAAATATATACAGTACCGAATTTATTTTTAAATATATCATAATTGAACTATTGGAATATTGGAATGTATTGCAAGAATAGTCCTAAACGGCTAAACCACAAAGAAGACAATACAAGAGTGATACAATAGTAACATTATGAAATCTTGTAGTACATATCTTATCCTTTGTTTATAATTTAAAGTATAACTGAATTTAAACTGTTATGTTCTCTTTTTCAGTGGTTTTGAGAAGCCTGATTCAGACAAATTTGACATTTTCGTCGTAAATACAGATGGCAAAACTACCACTTACCGGGACATGCAGCGATCTACTACAGTTAAACAACTAAAATATAAGATATACAAGAAGGAAGGTGTACCCGTGGAACAGCAGCGATTGACATTTCAGAGCAAACCCCTAGAAGATGGTCAAACATTGGGATACTATGACATCCAGCAAGAGAGTACAATTTATCTGCTTGGGAGACTGCGAGGTGGAAAAGCAAAAAATCCACAGCATACTTCCCCTACAATTTGATATGACGATGCGATGCGAAACTGTCAAAATTTTCGGGGGCTTCGCTCCACGACCGCTTTAGTGAACTACGTTATTAATATTATTTTCATAATGCGCAAAAAATTGGATGAAGTGATTAAACAGAGTCATATACTGTATTCAGGGCCGGATCCAGAGATTTCCGAAAAGAGGGCCGAAAAGGGAGCCCATCGAGAGACAACACAATTTTAGGGGTGCTGGGCATGCCTCTAAAAATGTTTGTTTTCAAAACGCCCGGAAATAACCTTTTTTTTTTTATTCGATCAATAATTTTTTACTTTTTCTTTTTTTTTTCGCTTTTTTTTTTCCCTTTCCAAAAAAAAAAAAAAAAGTGGAGGGGCGACCGGCAGGCTCCCCACCCCTACATCCGCCCCTGGTATTCTACCGTCAAATATCAGTTTATTACTTATAGACAAAAGAACTATTAATAGTCATTGGCGGCAATCCAATTGATGAATGTTCGAGAGTGTATATGGGAATTCCCAAGTACGATATTATTAGCCTACGCAATGCAATAAATAGATTCGTGTCGGACGTTTTAGAGAGGTAGGTTTATGTTGAGTAAGATGTGTATAAGAGACAGATATATAATCATAATTGTGTATATATTTAAATTTATTAATTTATAAAAAGTATAATTTGTATGATTGCTGTACTGGACATTGGGCATTGTATCACCCAGTACACCCTATGCAATAGTTTTATCACATAAGCATTCCAACACTTGCTGATCGGCGCCTGTTGCCAAAACATTTTCCAATAATCATTCACTATTTCCTTCTGCTAAAGACATACAGTAATTACAAATTTAGGTACAATTTAGTTCATTTCACTTGGAGTGAACACCGGGAGATTTAAATCCTCTTTAACTCTGCAAGGATTATTTTTAGGATGGTAAGAGCCTTTCAGATAGATCGTGATTGACTTCAATCTAATTTCATACATTTGTAGTATATATAGCCATACTTTCCAGTAGGTTTCAGGTTTTGAATAACCTTGTATAACCAGTTCCATACATTTCACAGGGATGAATAAAATATACCTCGTATTTTTCTCGAAAAAGAATATTGTTCTGTTATTTATCATTTTGTTTTTCTTCTTGCCTCGTTAAAAATTGCACACTTTTATGTGTTATATTGGAAGTTGCACAGCATGATTTATAAGAAATTTTACAGGTTAACAAGGTTGTTTGAGCACTCAGTAATGGTGATGAAGGCCAGAAGACTGGTCGAAAAAATCTTTCAAAAATGCAGTGTTCTATAGTCCACATGCCTAGTTTTCATAAGTTTTTGTTTCAACGACTGAATATATAAAGGTTACCGAAAAAGGTGGCCTTATTTATCATTCGCTAATTTGTGACTGAGCCACAATTTACCAGAAATTGTCGTGTCAAACGACGCACCCCCTCCAATTCCCAAAGGTTCACATTTTCCTGGGTATAATATTCAAAACTCACTCTCGCACGTTCCAGAAATCCATCCACCAAGGCTCTTTTTTCAGATGAGTTTCCAAAACTCATCTTCATTCTGGGTTTCACTAAATCTTTATTCTCGTTTGGAAATCCTCCTGCTTTTGGACCCTCGCACAATTTGTCATGGCGCAGGTCAGACAGTGGCGTAATGCCTATGCGTGGGGGCCCTCTTTAGGCCCAGGAAGACCCCACCAAATTTTTCAAAAAAGTAAATAAAAATGGAGATAAAGAGAAAATTATATTCACAATTTTAAGTGCGTGTGAGTGTCATTTCTGGCCATCTAGACGTGCCATAATAATACATTTTCTTATCTCAGCCCCACAAGGGCGCGGGCAACAGCATGTATGTGTGTCTAAAATCGACTGCTAGGACATATCATATTATATCTAGTGGCGGATAAAGAGTGAGTGGGGTGGGGGGATAAAAAGAAAATTATATTCACAATTTTATGTCTGTGAAGCTCCATTTCCGGCCATCTAAAGGTACCATATTCATAAATTTTCTTACCTCCCTGGCCTTAATTTTTTGGATCCAAATTATATCATTTATTCGTCGTTAAAAACATTTAGAATAACAATGCACATCCAGGGGTGGCGCCAATGGGAGGGGGCGGGGAGAGCTCCCCCCCCCCACCGTCGGGGAGAAAAGCACAATTCGTCGGAGAGAAAAAATTATATGTATTTTATACATATTAGTAGACTATAAAATCGATTAAATAAGCCTTTGAAACCTCTAAACTGTCAAAATTTTCGGGGGCTTCGCTCCACGACCGCTTTAGTGAACTACGTTATTAATATTATTTTCATAATGCGCAAAAAATTGGATGAAGTGATTAAACAGAGTCATATACTGTATTCAGGGCCGGATCCAGAGATTTCCGAAAAGAGGGCCGAAAAGGGAGCCCATCGAGAGACAACACAATTTTAGGGGTGCTGGGCATGCCTCTAAAAATGTTTGTTTTCAAAACGCCCGGAAATAACCTTTTTTTTTTTATTCGATCAATAATTTTTTACTTTTTCTTTTTTTTTTCGCTTTTTTTTCTCACTTTCCAAAAAAAAAAAAAAAGTGGAGGGGCGACCGGCAGGCTCCCCACCCCTACATCCGCCCCTGGTATTCTACCGTCAAATATCAGTTTATTACTTATAGACAAAAGAACTATTAATAGTCATTGGCGGCAATCCAATTGATGAATGTTCGAGAGTGTATATGGGAATTCCCAAGTACGACATTATTAGCCTACGCAATGCAATAAATAGATTCGTGTCGGACGTTTTAGAGAGGTAGGTTTATGTTGAGTATCAGTATAATCTAATTTACAGTGCTAACACCCCTAGTGATATTGTTTTAATTGATTAATTGTTATTATTGTTAGCTAAAAATAGAATAGGCCTCCCCTTTGCTTAAGTGTAGGCATTTATTTGAGGTGATTGGCCGAGCAGTTTAAGTCAGGGGCACCGTAACCTTCAGCTCTAATATCGGCGCTGGTTCGAACGGCTCACTCGCCAATGGGTCCGGTGGTGGAACAAGTCTTCTCGGATAGGGACTTTAAACCGTAGGCCCAGTGTACGCATTTGGCTCGTGTGCACTTTAAAGAACCTGGTACATCATTTGAGAAGAGTAGGGGGTTACCCCGGTGTCCTGGTCCATTAAGTCCCCTGTTGTTAAATGGATATGCCACGTAGGGCAGTGATTAAGTTCACTTATTGGCATATCCTTGGCCCTCGTGCCTAAAGAAATGAAATGAAATGACAGCGATTTTTTTGCGGCCCGCCAAGCAACATTGGCTAGAAAACACCTTGTTTTTTACGACCAGACACTGATCATATGTAAAAAGTAATATTAAAACTGGAACTAAAGTGAGTGTAAAAGCAGTGCTTGGAGGTTTTTAGAAGCGCACTGGAAAGATCAAAGTTTGGTTGCGGCCCTTGGTGTTAAATCAGAAATTCATTTTGGCCCTCCGACCGATTTTTATGCC